GGGCTCCCCTCAAGCAGCCGGGACTCGGAGCGGCAGGGGGAGCTGCAGCCCGGCCGCGGCCCGGCCGAGGGAAAGCGGCTAAAAACAACCTCCCCCGCAGCAGGCCTGCTCGGCTCTAGCTGCCATGGCAGCGGGGAAAGCTGGGGCTCAGCCCAGCTCGGTGTTTAGTCTGAGGCCGGCGGTGATAGCGGCGTTTGCGGCTCTCGCAGCCCGGGCAGCGCTGGGCGAGAGGAGCCCGGAGCGGCTCCTGCTCCGGAGAAAGCTCCCAGAAATGAACGCCACGGGAAACCTCCTGGCTGCTGTTTTGGAGATGTTGTTATTTGTTTTGCTGTCCTTTTTTTTTTTTTGTTAGTTTTTTTTTTTTGTTTTTTTTTTTTTTAAAAAAAAAAAAAAAAAAACGTTTAAAGGGGCAGGAGATCATGGGTCCCCCCGGGGTTGAGTAAACGAGTCTGCAAAAAGAATCAGTTCTTCTAACTAGCACACATTAAGCAGACATAAAGAATTTAGCAATGAAAATTGTGGACTAAGTATGTATTTAATAACTCCCTGATGTTGCTGCAGAGACTCCTCCTTTGAAGAGCTCAGTGGGGTTTTGAACGGAGGGGAGCTCTTACCCCCGTGCAAAAACTTTTTAAAAAAGGAAAAGTCTTTACATTTATTTTTAACCTAAGCAGCAACCCCCATGTTTCCAGTTTTAAAAGAACTCCTAAAAGCTTTAGCTAGGCAAATGCAGAGCAAAAGAAACTAAATAAAGCAAGTCTAGACTTAAAATTCGATCAGAAACATATGGGAGTTCTTCGAGCCTTTGCCTTCTGAGACGTCCTATCGCTCCCCACACGGAGCGCACAAAATGTGCTTTCAGTAAAGCATGGCTGTAATTACCATGGGAGGCCCTGCTCGAAGATGGCTTCTCACAGCACAGCCAGAGGACTTCGAAATAAAAGGCTTTCATTTCCACTTACATTTGACATTCTTGCTTGCTTGTGACCACCAGAGAACACTTGTGGAAGGCATGCACAGAACTCTATTTTATGATACATCCTATAGATCTGAAGCTGTGAACAGAAGCCCATTATTCTCTCCCTTTTCCATCATCTTGGTTTCCCTATAACCCAGCCCTCTCGGCGTGCCCTGATACGTGACATCGTCCTTGTACAGTTTAACAAGGAAATACTTCAAACCTCTAAGCAGCTTTAAGACTGACTGCAGGCAAATTTGTTTTAGGTGACAGAACAAACCTGGATGTGAAGCATACGGTAAGAGGATAAACAGTGACTTACTGCAGGTGAGGAATAAATCTGCTTTCCTGTTTGGGTGATTATTTAGAGAACTAAGTTGCTTGGTCTTGAAAAAGTTCAAATGCTTTGACTGGTTTTATTTTTACACTGATTCTCTGGTTTTCTCTGTTTCAGTAAGGACCTGAGAGACCCACACCCTCTATTCTTCCTCTATTGGTTCTTGTACCAACCTAACTTTTATATGACATCTCTCGATCTCCATCAGCCTCAGGAGGACAATCCAAACCAGAAGTGAAACTACTGTACCCACCATGCTTGAAAAACAGGCAAGACACAGTTTGTAGACCTAATTAGTCTTCAGTCTGTGCATGCTTAAACTTTGTCCTACAGCAGATGCAGCACACCTACTGCAGAGTGTCCCAAACATCAGCTTGGGAGCAAGGATTTAGAAGTGGGAAAGCCAAGGGAGGGAAAAGGCACTTGATCCTAGTGACAAAGGTCATAACAAAGCAGGAAAAGCAGAGAAAGGATGATGACATTAGGAGGAGTAAAGCAGGAATCATGGACAAGGGATCAGGAGATGGTGATTGCGGGGGAAATGAGAAACAGCACGGAGTGGTGATGAAAGGAAAGAGGAGCTGGGGAATATCTGCCTGAGATGGTCCCTTAGCCCAGTGGAATGGTCCAAGAGAGTGAAAATTGCTCAGATTTGTTTCTGTACTGGAAAATGTCATTTTGTTAAACACAAAATACCAGTAGTAAGCGTTACCCACAGGCTCACTGTCGCTGGGCAGGTCAGGAAGGGAAGCCCCCAGGCTTCTGAGGGTGCCTGGTAATTCTGGAGCAGCTCTCCAGCTCAACTCAGGCTCTACAAATGCACAGAGGGTGTGCTCAGACTGCACTGCCAGGGACTGGGCTGGCCCTACAGCTGAACCCCAAAACTGCAAATCACCCAGCTGCACAGTGCTCTCTCCATGGAAGAATTTTTTTGTGCAGTATAAGCAAGTTAAGATTATCAGATTATGCTGTTTTATCGGGTATCTATTTCTTTTAAGTGAAAGAAACAAAACCAAAAAAAGAGTGAATGGGAAGAATGTGTCCTTCCATTGGTCACCACTGCACTGCAGCAGTATAAATCTCCATCAATTCAAAGGCTTGCACTGTTTAAAAGCACTGGGGTTAGTGAGGTTCCACTGTGTGTGATTTAACTTAATACAGATACTCCTTTCAGAGGCAAAGTGGTCCAAAATACGATGTTCCAGCAGAATAATTTATTATCCACAACTCAAGCTACGTTTTCTATATGACCGTAATAAATTAACATCCATCACACACACATACAAATATATTGTATGTTTATGTGAACACTGCATTTTCAAATTAGTCATTTCAGGGAATTAATGTGTCATATGAAAAGCTCAGCTTGAATAAACACAAAATTAATTCAACGGAGTGACCGAGACAGACTATTATTCTTAAGAAACTGTGTGTTCTTGTTTGCCCTTCAGCAGGGAACATGTCAAGTAAGTAAGTAAGTGTGCAGTGCATCTGTGGAACACTGTCCCAGCCTTTCAGAAACCATGGGTTAGGATGGTCCAGAAGGTCACAAGTGGCCATAAAGAAGAGCAAGTTAGGAGTGCTGAGTGGGAATGTTCAGAATGCTGTTCTGTTCATGGAAGATGACAACAGAAGGGCCACAAAATCAGCAGGAAGAACATCTGATCTCATCTCAGGAGCTGTGCACTGCTCTGTGCGTAGCTGCACTGTTTGCCAGAAGTGTGAAGCACGTACCCCAGTTCTGAGCACATCTCTCTTCTTCCTTCCCACTTGGCTTTGACCTTCCTCTGCCTTGTTGCCTCTCTCCTCTTGACTTACCTTGGAGCAAGAAGGGGAGCAAATGTCCTGGCTGTCACCTCCAGCTGGAGTTGCACCTCTTCTTGTCCATGATGCCAGCTAATGGGATTACCACAGTTGTTAATGGAGCCATGGAGTGCCCTCATTCACTACTGATCCAATACAGCTCATGGGGGCAGGACAGTTTCAAGACAGCTTTTCAAGATGCCTGCAGGTGCAGGAAGTTCAAATCATCACTGTTTCTCTCTGTTTACTCTCAGATGTTTTCTCTTCTAGCATAAGGCAGCCTAGAAATGCACTGCTTTCAGACAAGACAGGAATTCCCTGCTCAGCACTGTCGCTCTAATCCTGCAATGCCCTCATGGCAACTGTTATTAAACTACTCCCTTATGAAACTAAGTAATTTCTTGGGACAAAACACATCTTCAGGTTCCTGTGTTTCTGTCAAACAACTGCTATTGCTTGATTCAACTTTCCTCAAGTAGAGAGATGTTAAAAATCAAACCACCTCCTTCTACTAACAGTGTCTTGAGAGAGAAAAGGAAGAAAAAAAAGAACCAAAACCAAACCAAACTCAAATTTTTGCTAAAATTCATTCAGTGCATCAGCTATGTTTGAAGACTGCACTTGCAACATCATCTTTATTCCAGAATCACTTCTTTCAGTGCTTTTCAGGTTCCTTGTTTTTCTGTCTTCCCCCATCTTGCATCTCTTTAACTTACCCTTCCCCATCACATAGGTCTGGTGTAGACTGAGAGTAATGAAAAGCCACTTCACTGCCAAATCCTCTGCTGAACTTTTAGAGTGACTTGCAACAGTCCCAACTGAATATCACTTTGTTTTTAAACAATTTTTTGTTGAATAAGGCAGGAGCAAGTAGTTCAGGAATAATACTGGAGATGATTACAGCTACCTGAGATGCAGTAGAGAGATCAAACCTCAGCCCTATGCAGAACAAGTGATTCTTCAGATACTTTTCTTCAACTGCCATTGACAGTTTTGTGAACTGCCCATCACAAAATTCCTGGGCCACTGAATATATGAACAGCCTGCCTCTGGCTGATGAAGGGAGATGCTGAGAATCAGTGGCAGCAGACATGGTACCCAGGCTGTAAATGTCTGGCATCCCATGAACTTTGTTCTCCTCCATCTTCAGGACAGTCATTTGGGGGAGAGGTATGCAAAGGAAGGCAGTAACAAAATCCTACTGCCGGTCTGAAAGAGAGCCATCCTTTCAGGGGCAGCAATCACTGAAGCTCCTGCAGCAGAAGTGAAGACTCTCCTGCATCTCTCATGGCATTACAGCTCAGGCAGCTGAAGAATCAGCTCTATGCAAATGCCATTTCAAATTTCTCATGAATTTTGACTCCAGACTTGCTGTATTGTGACATTTTACATGTTTTTACAACCTGCTTTCTGGCCAA